TCTTTCAAACTCTCCCAAGGTCTTTAAAAAAAAAAAAAACACAAGTATTTTACTCTATGCACTGACTGACGGTGTCACAGTGATCCTGCGTGCGCTTCTACGAGGTTATTTTTGTTGTGTGGTTTCGGGAACTGACGGTCTGATGGGACATGCTCCAGCTTCCACGCTGTCTGACCGTGACATCTGCTGCGCTCCCACTGAGCATCATGCCAAGAGCATCGAATTGATTTGTTGTTCAGAAACAACAAATCAGTAAAAACAAATCGAACCTTGGAGTAGTTCTGCTTTTTATTTAATTGTTGTCAACACCTGTTCAGCTGGTGAGAGCAGTAAGAGACACCTTTGACTTTAAAAAAAAAAAAGTAAACTATATACTGGCATTTCTTGTTGGGGTGCCGTCTTACTTCCTGGCGGCGTGACAATGAGGGCATTTACACTTGTAAAAGCCTGCATGTTGTTAAGCAGGGTAAATAAGAAAGATGAGTCAAAGATGGAGTAAAAATTAAATGTGTGTGTTTTGATTCTTTGGAAGAGCAATATAGCAGTAGAAGGCGGGGAAGGAAGGGTTCTGTCAGCAAGACAGTCCGCCACCTGTCATTACTGACTACTTTACAAGCTTCTCTTCATGCTCTCTGATGTTTGTCTCAACATGAAGCTACCTATTTTCCTACTAAAACAACAGAAATACTGGCGTACCTCTCTGCTTCAGAAAAATACCGAGTTGGCAGATTGTTGCTTAAAACAATCAGTCTTTTACTCAATCAAGGAGGAGAACATTTTACAAACCGATTTCCAGAAAGTGGATTTTGTGAAACACCTTGCAACACGAAGCTGGTTACCCAACGAAATCCTGTGACACACACTCACCTCTTGTGTGCAGTACGAAACATGAATCTCCAACCACACAAACTTATAACTATCAATAAGCGTACCCTGATTTTGCATCCGGTGAATCATCAGAAAGCGGAGACGGGCTCAGGGAGGCCGTTTACTTCTACAAAGTACAGGTTGGGTTTCTTAGAAAATGTGAAATATTCTGCAATTTTATGGTTTGATGCATCCAAAACTCCAAAACAACATCGAGAAACATGGTGGTGGGAGGTTAATTATGTGGCCTTGATTTTAATCAGATGAAGATGAAGTCCTATAAAGGTAGATGGAACTATGAAGCCATTCCAGATTTTTAGAAAATACTTATTTATTCTTAATTCAACAATAGATTATCTTAGAGGAACATGTTGTAGAAGTGAAAAAGTGTTGACGCAGTCGTGTTCAGGAACACATGTAAAAAAAAAGGAAACAGGACATTGGGTCAATGCCGCAGTAGAGAAAAACAGCTGGACATAATGTATTATTACCACACTGGCGCAGAGTCATTTGGATGCTGGAGTTTCCCATCAAGACAGAGGTGAGTTCCTGATGCAGTTCATCTTCTAAAACATTTAAGAAATCTGGCTAAATTAATGACATTTGATATAGTTTGAAATTCAACAACTGTGATAGGAATAAAAAAGAAGAAGCTTAGGGAGAAAGCTGAAATTAAGTAGTTTCACTTAATGAGTTTAATGATTTTGTGATGTACTTTGTTCAGTATTTTCCTGAATTCATCAAATTCAGACATTTATTTGTACCTTTTAATGGATATTTAAACTGTTGCCTTGCTAACAAAGAAACTGATTGTTATTTTCGTATTAAACGCACGTTGGAGGCAGTGCACCTCCAAGTATCTTCCTGTATGAAACGTCTATGAGAATTGAAGATGGAATTTATTTTCTGGCTGAATTACAATTAGGAATAAGGGTAGGCATCAATAAAGTGACATCCACTTAAACTTCAATAATATTTTGGTTACTTCTATATTGCACATTTGCTTTAGGAACATTTTATTTGTGTGCATGTTTCAAGCAGCAGCATTACTGTTGGTGCACAGCCTCCAACCTCCTTTTTCTGTCTAAATTTACAGATTTTTCAGTTGAATGTAACTCCAAATTATTTACAAAAAATTGCCTATTCACAGATGTTTTCAAACACCATATCTAAAATATATAAGAAAGAAAATCCAGTTTGGGAAGCTGAAATATAAAGAAACATTATCGATACGCTATTGACTGGCATTTGCAAAACAGCCAATCAATGTGTGCCATTCATTTTCCTTGTTGCGGATTGGCTGAACCCCCAAGAAAGTAAAGAAAGAAGAGTAGATGTTAGCTTCTACTGCAGCGTGACGACAGCTTCCACTTTGTGTATTAGAGCATATTAAGGTATATTTGAATTATTAAAATGGGTGGTTATAATGGTTGTTAGAGGGGATCGCAAGTATTTGTCAATTTTAGCAATGCATGGCTGGCTGTGGTGTCTGATCCACTGCATTTGATTCAGAGGAAATGATTATTTCCACCAAGAGGATATTATGTAGTTCTAATAAAGAACCTCTCTTCAAAATCCCACACTATGCTTTTAGTATTTCCTTTAAAATGCTGAAGCTCTGAAACCAAATTGAAGAACTTCTTCAAACTGTTTTCTTCAGTTTAAATGACAGATTTAACTCTGTTTCTTTCCCATAGCCATGTCCTTCACCTACGTCTTCACTGACTACTACTTTGAAAATGAAACTGAACAGCTCGACCTGAATCTAAACACAATACCATGCAATCCAAAGCCCCTGGATCCTACGGCAGGGGCGATCTCATCTCTGATCCTCATAGCTAACTTTTTACTGGCGATCCCTGGCAATTTGCTGGTAGGATGGGTGATCAGCTCCAGCAGACAGGTTTTGACTTCATCGGACGTCTACTTGTTCCACCTTACTGTAGCAGATGGACTCATGGCCCTGACACTCCCATTTTTTGCAGTAGCGCTGGTTTGGGGGTGGCTCTTTGGTGACTTCATGTGCAAGTTCCTCAACCTGGTCATTGAGGCAAACTTCTACACCAGCATCATCTTCCTGGCTTGCATCAGCGTCGATCGGTACCTTGTGATTGTGCGCGCCAACGAGACCCACGGGACTAAACAGAGGAAGTGCAGCAGGATCCTTTGCGCGGCGGTTTGGGCCCTCGGCTGGGGCCTCGCTTTGCCTGCCCTTTTCAATGACGCCTTCAAGCTTGACGAGGACTCCGAGAGGCTCATTTGCACGGAACGCTTCGACATTGGGAGTGTCACCAGTTGGAGGATCGCCACTCGTGGGTTTCGCCATATTTTCGGCTTTCTGATCCCGCTGGCCGTCATGGTGGCGTGCTACGGCATCACCGTCGCCAGGCTGCTGAACACTCGCGGTTTCCGGAAGCACCGGGCCATGCGGGTGATCATGGTCGTGGTGATTGCGTTCCTGCTGTGTTGGGCGCCGTACCATATAACCATGATGGTCGACACGCTGATCAGGACCAACCTGATACGGTTCGACTGCAGCTTCAGGAGGTCGGTGACCTTAGCCCTGGATATAACCAACACCCTGGCTCTTCTGCACAGCTCCATAAACCCGTTCCTGTACGCCTTCGTGGGAGAGAAGTTCCGGAAGAAAATGATGTGCCTCATGCAGAAGAAATTCAGACAGGAGAGGATGTCGGGGTCAAAGGTCAGCCGGTCAACCTCTCAGACCTCGGAGGGAACTGGAACAATTCTCTGAATGTGTTGAGCTCTTAAACTTAGTGCTTGTATAGTGAGAGGAATCAACAAACATGGACACATGGCTTAACGTTGTCTTTGTATCTGATTTGAGATGATGAAAACTGGCAGCAGTGTCCAAATCCATCACAAAAATAAGGTAAATTATATCAACTTTAGGACGTATTGGTTTTTTATTTGTTTGTTTGGAAATAAAATAGTATAGATATTTCAATTATGTTCAATGGTAGGACTTCTTGTATTCCTCTTAGATATTATGACACATTGCTGCCATCTACTGGAACTCGTCATGTTACACCTATGTCACCTCTATTCATTGACACAATGGTAACACATTTTGGGATATATTTAAGAAAATAAAGTACGGTTAAATCCCTTACAAGTATACTTTTACCGTATTTACAAATGTACAGTGTAAAGTTTCAACTTTTATCTTTCTTCTTTGTGAATAAAGACGATGCTGAATGTGTGCTTTCTTATGCAAATACATAAAAGTATATTTTTTTTCTATCCAAACTTGTTTGGTTTGATTGTAACCAATAAATCTATTTACAACTTGTTAAATGGATGCAGTCTTGTTGAATTTATGACTACTGTTAGCTGCCTTGAATTTGTTTTAACTTTTCCAAGAAGAAATTAATTTTATTTTACACATTTGCATCTTTAAGATAAATCTGTAAAGCAGATGACAAGAGTCAAAAATCATCATCGACCACAGGAATTTCCCATTGAACCTCAAGGTAAATAAATTGAGTGTCTCTTCTTCCTCTAGAGCCTGGGACATTCATTTATAAATGGAAGTTCCATCTGCTGCCTATACACTTTTTTTCCTTCCACTCAACTTCCCACCAATAGCAAATATTGTGTGGTTTATCTCCCTCTTGTGGAGATAAATCACACATGGTAACAGAATATGTTACCATGTCAGTCTTTTTTATTACATAGCATTTGTGTAATAAAAATACGTTTATTGCTCTAATGTAAAATTTTCAGTGAACCTGGAAGTCATAGTTATTACAGCTGCATTATTATTATTATTATTATTATTATTATTATTATTAGTAGTAGTAGTAGTAGTAGTAGCGGTGGCGGTACTAGCCTTGTAGTAGTCATAGTAGTAGTAATAGCATTAGTTGCTGCAATAGCAGTGACCTACCAGAAGAGGTCATACATGAGCTTTTTTGAAGGAGAAAGATAAGTTTAAAAGTAAAATCAAGAAAATTGTTGTAAGGATATTATTATTGTCGTAATTTTTAAACATATTGCTTAAGATATATTTTAAAAGCATTAGCCAGTCAAAAATAATTCTTTGTATGTCATTTTTGTGTGAGCTGCACAAGAAACAACTCCCCAAATAAACATGTTACAACTTATGAGACCATTAATCATCTTGGTTGTGGGAGAGAACTGCAGTTCCCAGAAACCCACGCGATTTTAAAGATTTGCAAGTGGTCCGCACGAGGTAACGTTACATTTATTTATTACATTTTTAAGCCCCCCGTTTTATGTTACTGAAATGCACGTTTTTAACAGGTAGCTAATCGTTTTCTGGCTTGCTGAGGTTAATTTGCTTTAAACGCCATTTTAATCATTTGTGCTGACGGAGTCCAGATTCCTGCTTCGCCTTTTAGACAGTAATGCTAACTTGTTAGCTGCAGCTTTCTAAATATGTCGTTAAACACATGACTGAAAACCTTCCGTCTCTTTTTAAGCTTTTCAGTCACATTAGGAGCTAGCCCGCGCTAGTACCGCGAGTTACGTATTTGTTCGTTTGTTGTAAAAACACATCCAGTCAGACCTCGTCTTCTGTTGCACTGTTGTTGTTTTCATTATAATAACACCTGGAAATAATGCAGAAGGGAAAATAAGTAAGGTCCTCATTGTAAACACATTAAAATGGTTTTATAGCACTTGTTTTTCTGTCTCAGAACCTAAGTGGGTTTAGAACATTCTGGGCCTTGCAAAAGTATTCATACACCGAAAAGGTGGGTACAGTACTTAAGAGTAGCGCTACTTTTCACTAATGTAAAAAGCTATCCAAGAAATGACTCAACTAAGAATTAGTTGGTAAAATGATAGGAACACATTTAATTTTGTGCGAATTCTGATGTTTTAAAGGCTAAAATAAAAACGTTATTAAACATAAATAACATTATTGTATTGCAAATTTAGGGTAGTGTGTTTAGGTTACTCTCAACAGTATTTCATAATAGTATCACTCAAGTAAAGTATGGTGCCTTAAAACTACTTGCAAAGGTAAATTTTTGGCACAAAAAAAGCTTAAGCAAATATAACTAATTACTACCCATTTTTTTATTATTATTATTATTTTTTTTTTACATTTTATCACTTATTTATGATGTATCTTAATACAATTTTAAGCAAGAAACCATCTGCAAGCATGATGCTGCCACCACTATATTTCACTTATAATTTATGTAATGTAGTTTATTTTCCTGATTGTCTTTTTTTTTTTTTTGCATAAATGTAACACCACAACACATTTGTGATTTAAACGGATTCGTTTACTCAGAGGGCAGTGATTTGTTGACTGCAGTGATTTGTTGACTCGGGTTATTTTGCATGTAGTTTAGATGGATTTGTTTAACTAAGCTTCCTTAATTCCATGTATAGAATACAGTACGTTACAATGTCGGTCTCTGAGGTGGAGAACATCACAAGATTTTCTTGTTGGCCATCATTTCATTATGTTTACGTCTGATTTGAGCTGTTTTTAACCCAAATGTGGAGAGATTTTGTTTAGGAAAACCACAAAGAGGGTTTTCCTTTTTTACTTTCCGTTACGCAAGACAAAGTCGGATTGGCTCAACTGACAGAACACGCTGTTATCGTTTCAGGTCAACAATGCGCCGGGCCTCAGCTGCTGGATAGGAACAATATTGCACGGTCGAAAGGGGCAAAGGTCAACAGCTTCTCTCTCATGCGGACGACGGCATGCTAGCTGTGTACCTACGATTTCATCATCCTGTAAAATGGTTAATTCCAGGTAGCTCAGCCTGTCTTCACTCACAGAGGACCAACCGGTGTCAGACAGCGCCGCAGGGTTTCCTCTTTCATTCCAGCCGGAGCAGTTTTGCTTCACATGCTGATCTGACAGAGCAGCGGAAAGGCAGCGCTTCGTATCCAGGGGCGACCGACATCCAGCAGCCACGATGGCAGCTGACCGAGCAGCGGCGGGGGAAGACGTGGATGTGAAGACGCCGCCGCTGCCACCGCTGCCACCGCTGCCACCGCTGGAGGACGGCGAGGGACGCGGGGATGCGGAGGCGGCGGAGGCGCCGTGTCCTGCCGAGGATGGCGGGAAGCTGACGTGCTCCGTGATGTTTCTGTGTTTGTACGGGTTCATGTCTTCCATAAGGCCCGGGGAGTCGTTCATCACACCCAATCTGCTGAGCTCAGAGAAGAACTTCACCAGAGAGCAGGTCAGTGCGGTCCAGACATTGATAATTAACTCGGCGGAAATGCAACAAAGGCTTTCCAACTCGTCCCGTTACAGTCGCATTGCAACTTTGCAACTGTTTGTCAGGATTTTCTGCTCGGATGAATTCATGTGTTCCCCGCAGGGAGTTGACTGATCCGTCTTACTCGAGGTCACAGTTCGCATTCCTCCTAACTGCGTCATCGGAGGAGGATGTGTGACTTGTACAGATGCGATTTTGTTTTATGACTTCGAAGGACCGAAAAATGAGCCTAAGAGTTCAGAAAGGTCTCTAAAGCAGTTGCAGTGGACAGACGACTCATGCTAATAAGCTTGTTAAAAATAGACAGACAGTTGCTTTTATTTTCAACCTTCTCCTATTTTGCTTAAACCTGCAATGTTTCTTTAGTTCATCCATCATCCACCTATAAATCCATCTATTTATAGTTTTAAATGATACAAAGATGAGAACTATGAAGGTTTATAGTTTGAAATTTGGATTAAAAGGATTGAACTCTTGAAATTAGTGTTTTAACAGAAGTGTTGAAGGATATTAAAAATAATGCCACTAGTTTTCTTGTCTTCTGTGTCAGTTAAGAAGTTATTTAATGTAAAATCAACCCTAAGACCGTAGAAACATTTGTTGCAATCAGTTTGGACACTCTGTGAGGGGAAAAGTTTTAACCCGGCACCGGCTGCTGTTCCCAGGTGACCAATGAGATCACTCCGGTGCTGACGTACTCCTACATGGCGGTGCTGGTGCCGGCCTTCCTGCTGACTGACCTGCTGCGCTACAAGCCGGTGCTGATCATCCAGGGCATCAGCCACGTGGTGATCTGGGTGCTGATGCTGCTGGGCGCCACGCTGCTCCACATGCAGCTGATGGAGTTCTTCTACGGCATCACAATGGCGTGCCGCGTGGCTTACTCCTCATACATCTTCTCCCTGGTCAGCCCGTCGCTGTATCAGCGCGTGGCCGGATACTCGCGCTCCTCCGTCCTGCTGGGCGTCTTCGTCAGCTCCGTGCTGGGCCAGCTGTGCCTGTCGTTGGGCGACATCAGCTACCATACACTGGACACCATCTCCCTGGGCTTCGTGAGCTTTGGGCTGGCGCTGGCGTGCTGCCTGCCCTGGCCGAAGCGCTCACTGTTTTTCAATCGGACGAAGAGCCGGGAGCCGGCGGAGAAGGCCGCCCCCTCCGAAACGGACGAGATGAACCCCACGCGGGCGGGTGTGTCCTTGACGGCGAACTGGAAGGAGTCCATCTTTGTGCAGATGCTACTGGAGGTCTGGAACATGGTGAAGAGGCCCAACCTGAGGCTCTGGTCCCTGTGGTGGATCTTCAACTCCACGGGGTATTACCTGGTGCTGTTCTACGTCCACATCCTGTGGAACAAAGTGCAGTCCACCACCAACTACAACGGCGCGGTGGAGGCGGCTGCGACCTTACTGAGTGAGCGCTTTACCTGGAATTATCCCATCTGGAGTTAATGGGAATATATATGATGTACGCTGGACTTTGTCCTAACACATGTGTAGGTCATTTAAACTGATATGCAAGTCCTTTGAGATTAGCAGATCCTGCCACTTTCTGAAAAGTCTTTAATATGTAATATTAGAAATCCATAAAAAGATGTAAATAGCAAACAATTCAATTCCGTTTTAGAATTCAGTCACACAGCATTCCTTTAGTGAAGTCTTGATCATTTGTAGCATCTGCTGCTAAATAATACATCTAGATGAAGTTAAAACTTGAGGAGTTCTAGGTGGAATAGATCTCAGACAAAAGTTGTTTTTATATGAAGTGCAAAATGTGGAATTTTGGTTAAATTGCGGCTCTTTGGGTGTTTTTCTTTCCGGAAACAGCCATTTTTGAGTCTGCATACTCCAGTTAATGATTAATTGATTGCTAAATAAATTGCCGATTATTTCAATAACAGATTCCTCACAATTTATGCACAGTAGGGCAGGGCAGTAAATCAAATAATCAGGGTTTTTTTTAGTGTTTGAAGATTTACACTGAGTGAAACCTTCGTTTTTCACAAATGCACTCTTTGGGTTTCTGTAATTTAGTGATGTCAGGATGCCCCGGGTGGCCATATTGTTTGACAAGCATGCTTTATTTACAGCTTGTATTTAAATTGGACTTTGAATTCAGGTCAAATCCCAGTGATAGAAAAAACAGCCAGCCTCTGAAAATTATTTTCGGTCATTTGCAATTTCTGTTTGAGAAAAAAAAGCAAGGGAAGAGCGAGTTTAGCTTGGTTGGGGCGTTTTCAAAGTAAAAGCTTCCGTCTTACAAGCCCGGGAGGATTTGGAGTTTTCCTTGTGAAAAAGCCAAGAAAACCCAGAAGAAAGGTTATTCTAACAGACAATTAAAGCCGTACCTATAGTCAGATGCTCCATCATTAGAGGCTGGATAACCTATTGATCTCATTCCCCCAGAGCTGTGAATAAAACCAACTGCTTTACGTTCCGTTTTTACTTCTTTCTGCACTTTAAACCAGTTAAGTAACCTGGAGATCACATGGAAACACTAAAGTGTCATAAAGCAAAACGTGATGTTGGGTAACCAACAACCAGATATCTTTGTTTGTTTGACCTGTCCTGATTGGGATTAATTCAAAATTATATCATTCCTCCCTCCCCTTCCACTCTGCAGGTGCAATCACCTCCTTCATGGCGGGCTTCGCTAAAATCCGTTGGAACGTCTGGTCGGAGCTGGTCATCGGCGGCATCACGGCGCTGCAGGCGGGCATGCTGCTGGTCATGGGCACCACTGGAAACATCTGGATCTGTTATTCTTGCTACATCCTCTTCAGAGGATTCTACCAGTTCCTGGTTCCTATCGCCACGTGAGTAACAAACAAAAAATATAGTATATACTAAGATGTTTCTGAAGTACAGATTTATTTTTATTTTATTATTATATAAACCGATAATGGCTGAAATTGTGCTGTAATTTGCCGTTTGTCGATTTAATTTAAAAATACCACCCTCTGAAGTGGCATTGATACGGCAGTCCAGTTTATAATTTAATCTTTGCAGATTGAGAAAGCTGCATCTGGAGTAAAAGTTTCCCTTTGCCTAGCAGCAAATTTTGCATTGATTATAAAGACTTATTCCTGCTTGTAGCGCCCTCTAGTGTTCAAACCGCTCAGTTTGTCGCTGTCTTCTCACCACCAGCTTCCAGATCGCCTCATCGCTCACCAAGGAGCTCTGCGCTCTGGTGTTTGGCATCAACACTTTCTTGGGGACGGTACTGAAGAGCATCATCAACCTGATATTTTCAGACAAAAGAGGCCTGGGATTAGACGTGGAATCTCAGGTGAGGTCGCTCACCGTAGGAGGCATAAAACATTTACAAAGGCTGCCTCCTTAACCCAAGTTTCTCTTAAATACAATTAAAAATCTAGCTAATCCTCTTGAAGGCACGTCAAACAAAAACTTTTCCTGGGATCTCGTCTCGCTGTCCGCCACCTCAGCTCCTTTCAGCTTTCAAATTTCTGTTGCAGTTCCGCATCTACTTCATCTACTTCACCCTGCTGACCGTGGTGTACTTAATCAGCGCTGCCGTCGTCCTCGTGCGTCACTTCTGGAACCGGGGGGAGGAGGAGGCATCACCCGACAGGCTGCACACAGAGCTCACACCTGTTTCAATGACCTCCGAAGCAGAACCGCTGTCCAACAGCCAAAGTGTCAAAACCTAAAGGCAGCAAACACTTTGGAGAAGCCGCAGAGGTGCCAGTCATATTAACCTGGTAAAGATGGCGGAGATGTTGGGTGTTTTTTTTCTGAGCCTTAATCATGCAACTGCCTCGTCTTCTGCTGTGTGAAGCCTCTTGCACTACATTTATGTTTTTCACCATAAAACAGTCACAGAGCACATCAGTATGTTTGAAGCATATTACACTTGTTTTTCCTAACACAGCACTCCGATTGTACTTGTTACAAATATCTGTAGACAAAATCTGATTGTATTGATTTTGCTGGTTTTTTTTTTCATTAACAAAGACAATCATATCTTGTGATAAAACCACATGCTGAAAGCTAAAAAAAACTGCTGGATTTTCTGCAGTGTTTAATTGTATTTGTAATACTCTAGTATTAATTTGTATTTGATACAAATCATTGTAGGACAACAGCCAAAGTGCCATATTAACAAGTCAGTTTTTAATCTTAGATTTTTTTTAAGATTTAGTGCCACGGTTTAAGGACCCAGAAAGAAAAAAAACTGCTGCTTTTACTTTGAAATTTATAGGAATGCAGTGTTACCTAATCCTGCTGCAGGTTATAACGGGGTTAAAGTTCAAAGTGAACTTCTAATTCCTACACAGCAGAAGTTTCACTTTGTCATACTCACTTTTTTTTAGTAGGATTCTAGTTTTTTTCAGAATGTGCTCACAATGTATATTTTTTACTTGATTAAAATAATTTCTGAGAAATGCGATATGATAGGAAATTGAAAGTTTTTATGTTTTTATTCATAAATAAAACATAAGTAGTTGCTACGCTGTATTTTGTCTTTTTTTTTTGTTTGATTTTTATCAAAATCTTGTAAGACCTTAAAGTAGAGTACAGGTACCGCTTTGCGCTGGTCTATCAGAAAATCCAGTTAAAATACATCGTTTCTTCTAACATGAACACAATCAGGACTTATGAGAAGATTTTCAAAGCACGCTCTCCAAGTTATGATTCTTGTTTACTCAGCTGTAGTTGTCGCTCACAACTCCGATTGTTTTTTTTTTGTTCAGGATTTCTCAGCAGGTGGTTCTTCCTTTAACTGAGCTGTTTGTACAGCTGAATCACAAAGATATGAAAAACTACCTTTTGATCAAAATATCATTTGAGATGAAAATGGGACGAAAAAAAATGTCACTTCCAAGCTTAATTAGCTTTAAAAAAAAAAGTAGAGCATGACGTCAGATATTTTATGCATTTTATTTTGTTTACTGTATAAACCAGATTAACATTTGCTGCCCTCTAGTGGTGAAACGATGAAAAGTAATGAAAAAAATAACTGAGTTGTTGCATTTATTTAAAGTACGTTAAATAAACGTATATGTAGTCACTGTATATGTAGTCATATACAGTGACTACATGCATTTTCTTTGTAATAAATAAGCAAATCTCTACATGCTTAAGATGTTTAAAAAATGGAGAACCGGCAGCATTTGGGTTGATCTCAGTACAAGTCTCACAAAAAATACCTCAACTTCCTGTTCAAGTAGACAAGTGTCAGTTTTTTTAATAAAGGTTATGTGGAAAAATTGAAGAAAAACAAAAAAGCAACAAATTTACACAATAACTGAAGAGGTAAACATTCAAACACATTTAGTTTAAAAAAAAAGGAAAAATCTGAAAAGGCTAAAAGTAACTGAAAAACTTAACCCATGATGCACCTCTGTTGTTATTGTAGTGTTTCATAATGATTTCATTTATTACGATTAAAAGTTCACCAAACCAACCAGGCCCTGTTTGAAGAAGGAACCTTAATGCGCTGAAGCAGAACCTGCTTGACAACATGAAGCAACACATAACGCTCTAAGGTAATTCGAGTCATTATTTGGGTTTCCGTTGACTATATAATTGCGCAATTTAACATTCTGAAAATAAATTTGCTTTATGGCAATACACCAATTTCTAAAAACTACCTCATTTTTTGATCACAGGTTTTGGCACTAGGATGAGGAAGTTTTTTGGCCATGTTGAAATTGGTTTATTTTGCAAAACTGCAACGGCAACACTTTTTACGTGTCACAGAAGTCACATAATCAACAACCAGATCTTACCACCGCCTCAAACCACAAAGAAGAAGACAGAAAGTAGTCGGAGGATAATGACGCGGCATTTTTTTTTTTTTTTTTTAATGAATAGGGGGGAAAACAGTTTTTTATTGCCTTTTCCGGTGAACAAATTTTTTCACGTGTGATTTTAATTGGGTTTCTTTGTGTTTTTCGACATTAGTGGAATATCGAAGTTTTGCACACATTCGTAATGGAGACGCAGCTGCAGACGTCATTTGGTATGCAAATCTTTGAAACTCTTCGTCACAGTTCAGACTCTAAAAGCCCGTTTCACATTTGGCAAAAACATCCTAATCATCCGTTAGACTTTTAGGAAAACACACAAAGATTATGGAACGCAATACTTTGACTTGACCTTAAAAAAGGATGTTGATGCTTGGATTACCCTCGTCACATAAGGCCTGGTTGGCTTTGATAGCTTTTTTCTTTATTAAAATCATAAATCTGTACAGAGGAGCTCATTTCATCACCAAAAGTCAAGTCACAAACCAAACATGTAGGTTGGATGCTGAACCGTCAGCAGTTCTGCACCAAGTTTTGACTGTTGGCTGAACAGGCGGCTCAGACACACAATGTCCTTCCTTTATTCCTCTTCTCTTAGCTCGGTTGCTCTGACACGGATAAAAGTGCACGAGTCCCGACTCGCATCAAACCAGGAGCACACTCCAGTTCGATTAGGTCAAAGTATCAGTAGGTGTCATTTATATACGGCCTTTTACAGGAAAGCTCACCTTACCGGGCTTCCAGGAATTGTTCGACACTTTGGAAAATCCTGAACCAAACCTCCAAAGGTTCAGCAGCTCACCCTCTCTTCCTTTTGTCTTACCTAAACTCACTCTGATTACATTACTTTCCCTTAAAAATATCACTTAAGTGCATGTTTCAGACGCTGCAATAACAAAACAACAACAAAAAAGTCTTTCCTATTAAAAACATCCAACGTAACAGTAGAGCAGAATATCTTGGTGTGTTCTCTCAAGTCAGTTGTTGCTTTCAGTGCCAGCGGAAAATGTCAAAAACATTCTTGGGGGTAAAAAAAAAAAAAAAAAAAAAAAAAAAACACTTCTAGAAAAATCCAACCTTCAAAATCTTTGTTCCAGAGAAGATTTTGCCAATGATGCCAGTTTCAAGATGTTGTTTTATCAATCCGCCACTGCAGTTTCCTCTGCAACAAGAGGAAATGAACCGTTGAGTGGTTATGTGGTTTAAAAGATAAATACTTGTTGGATATATGTTAATTTCAATAATCCAATTCAGAAAAAGAAGCTCATATGACATTTTTATAGAAATGTAGACAGTGTCTGGGCAGAGCAAACTTATTGTGAAACGGAACTGACTATATAAGATATTTTTCTTCATTTTAAATTGTAAATGAATGAAAAATATATCAACTATCTTACCATCTAATTGGCCTTTTAGTGGAGTGGTGTTGCCGTTGGATTCTGAAGCGGCTACTTGAGGTTCTACAATAAAAACAAACCATCTAAAATTAAATGTTTGACATTTTATAGACTGGGAAAACAAAAGGAAGTTCAGGTTTAGACTTACGCTGCGCCTTGGTATTCCTCCAGAAATCTGAAAAACAGATTAAAGAAAAAAAAAAAACAACAACTATGATTTATTTGTGAACATAAAAGTATTTCTTAAGTTAACAGAAACTTTGAACCTAAAAAAGGTTATAACTTTTTTAATAAATTTGCTTTTGTCGTCTATTTACCTCTTTCCCACGGCATGGAGGCTGCAGAGACGAATCACAGCAGAGAAAATGTCAGTAGAGTTTATATTTAGATATGTATGGGATATCAAATATGCATCTTAGTTTATATTAAGTAGAAACAAATATTTAACATTTAGATTAGAATTAATTTTCAAAAAGAATCATTTTTTAATTAAGGTTTTAAAGGAACCTTACATTTATTGTAGAAGCATTCTCCTGAAGAGAAGAAAATCAACAGCAAGATTTAGTTTTACACTTTGAAACAAAAAGCAGCCATGCAACAAAACTGCACATATTTACAGTGTATAAACAAATTAACTCTCATTACCTGTTTTCATTCTGTGGATGATGACTACCAGTATCACAGCAGAAAGCAAAATGACCAACACTGTGAGTCCTCTGGAAATCTTCGGACCACTTTCAGCTGAGTTATAAACTACATATATGAAATATAGAAAAAGGACATTAAGCAGATTAAACATGCTGTATAATAAAACCATTCTCATGCATGTGTCCTTTGCCAAACTCAGTCAAAGAACAGAGCAGTTCACACCCACTAGCAGATGCCACAATGATGATACTCGGTCTTATTAACTTCACCTGTTAGTGGTCATAATGTTATGCCTTACTGGTGTATACTTGCATATTAAATAAATGATTTCCTTTGGGAGGGTTTCTGAACATTTCAAACTGAAACTTTCCTATCCTCCTGTAGGAGCTAGCTGTGCTACAGCACTAATGCTTTCAACAATTACATTTCTGCTTCCAAAGAAATGGCCCGAGTTTGTGAAAATGTCATTTAAATGAATTTGTCAATTGGGCCGAGAGGACCATGTGTTTCCCCCTTTATAATGCTGCCCTGGGCTACTGTCCATTTAGGCCGAATTCAATGGCTTGACAAGAATAGAAGGTGTTTCAGCCAAAAACATACCATTGGAAGTACAGACTGGTGTCTTCCCACACCAATGACTACATATGGTACTTAAATGGATGAACTAATGATAGGAAAATAGTGAATAGAGCTGCATAGATCAATTCTTTATGGGGTCAACTCACGAGCCTTGAATGGGTTGGAGAAGGGTTTGCTTCTCTCCTCACTGACCGGATTCTTCATCTTACAGGTGAACTCTCCGACACCTGAACTGTCGTTCTGCAAGAAAAACACTACAGTTATCAAAGTGTGAAAAACTGGATTTGTTAAACTGCAAAACCATTATCCACCAAAGATTTTGGCTGATTTTTCGGTCTGTTATATATGACGTATGAGATAATTAATACCTTTACAGTGTATGTTTTGTCTGTGAGACCTGGCACTTCCTTGTTGTCAGCCATCCATATGTATTGTACTGGTTCCGCTCTGGTCGTGTTTCCCTCACAGGTCAGGGTACATGTGGTTGACCCCTCAGGGCAGGAGGATGGAGCAATGGTTGGTATAGGAACTGGAGCTGGAGTTGGAGAAAGATGAGATCCAATCAGGCTCTGTGTCTTTTAATCTAAAACTATTCCACAGTAGAAAGGTGCTGATTACCGAGTACAAAGAGGAGAATCTCGTGGTCAATTACGCTTTTGTCTATCTCTGTCGTGTACACCTCAGTGAAATCATAAGTCAGGTTTGTGATCGTCAGTTCTCCAGTCTGGATGTTCAAGTTGCTCCGACCTGCAAACAAAAATAGTTGAGAATTTTATCTTTCACCTCACAAATAAAATAAAATTGAAAGAAAAAGAACGCCACGGATCCACTTACCTTTAAATATATTATAGTACGTGAGATCTGGTGGGTCAAAGTCAACAGCCAGATCCTTCCCAACTTTCCATTCGAGGTTTTTGGTTGCATTAGTCACAGAGCCCTGTTTTGGTTTGAGCGTTACCTCGCCTCCCACCTTTTTATAGATTGTTACAGTTGTAGGAGCTAAAATATAAAAACAGCAGCAGGGTGAATTTATGTCAGTAATTTTATCTTAAAACGAGGAAAACATTCAATTCTTCTTTAGAGTAATTCAGCCCAAAATGGTCTCTTAATTTATGTAAAAGCATTTTACTTACAAAATGTTCTAGGATTAGCATAGACAGATTTTTTTTAAGCTATCCGAGTTTCACATGGAGCGACATAGAGAAGTTTTCTCCACCTTCAGCTCATTTGGGTTTTGAAAATATTGTTCCCACCGTCTATGGTGACACAGGTTTGTTGTGCAAATCTCAAGGACCAATGAAATTTGAAGATCCATAGCTGATGACTCAGAATAGTAGGCATCTACTTTCCCTACTCTGCTGCTTGAACCTAAAATACAATTTTCTTAGAAAAAACAAAAAAAAAAAAACAACAACAACACAGGATTTCTAACAGTATAAGATTTATTACCAAACTGCTATTTTTGGTGCTACCCTTATCTCCAAACACCTCAATTTGTCTAATTTATAAGCAAAGAAATATTTCTGTTGCCTTCTTTTAGACAGTTAACTGGTCCTACTCAGCAACAAGTGTGGGAGGGGCGGTGTGCTACTTTGTTTCACACAGCTAGATAAAACATATTGCTACACTACTATTATCTCATTATTTATGGGTTTTTGTGTCATAAAATGTGTGTTCGGTAAAATTGTCTTAATATGATTATAACTGAAATCACAGGGGATTTTTGTGAGAATAACAGACACACAGTATAATATGTACTAAGAGGAACACTTCGTTAGGGTGTAAACACATTTTTCTTACCTGCCCCTGTTTGTATTCACCTTGTCAGCCATGTTTGTGTTTAAAACGTGAAAGTTAGTTGTCACTAAAGGTGAAGATTTTCCAGACTTTCCCAGTTTTCTCCCTCCTGGATCAGGATTTTTGTCCTTTACTGTTATGTGAAAGGTTTCCCCTGATACCTTAAATTTGAGGAAATTATACAGTATTTTGTATGATCTTCAGCATCATGCTTTTCTGACCTTATTTCTCATGTGACATAGTACTTTTCATTAGCCATGCAGCTTTTTGAAATGACCTTAAAAGCCTTTATAGAGGAAACTGACCCTTTTCCACCGCAGAAATTCCAATTTTGCATTTTCCACTGAAATTCTACTTCCTCTACTGTACTGCATCACAGTTTTACGTGTTCTTCATGTGTTTTACGACTTTTATTGCACTGTAGACTTAATATTCCCTTTCAAAACGAACAACATCGATTCATATGGAAAAAATACATGGAAAAGCCTGTAAGCCTCAGCCTTCAAGCAGCAACATAGCTGGGTGGGGCCACGCAGTTTTAAACTACGCGCACACTCACTAAAAAGACCCAGACTAAAGTTTATTAGGCCACATTTTGATTCCGGAGGAGGTTCTGGACTCACCTGAGGACACAGAGGCCGCCGCCAGAACAACAACAAGCCATCCGGGGCCCGAAAGCGTTTTGATAGGAGACGAAAGGATCATGGCGTTGGTCTGAGAAGGTTATGGACGAGGAAATGGCTTGTATCCGTCTGTGACCGAAAGTAACATCTCCAGCAACGTTAAACTAACATTGAAAGCATTTTAACACCCTGAATTAAACAACGTAAAGCACGGTTTCAGTCAGAGGCGCTATGTGAACGGCAGTTTCGAAAAGCCATCCGTAAAGTGAAAGTGTAGGAAGTGGGCTAGGATACAGGCTCCAAGACTCCGCCTCCGAGACATATTTAAAAATATATTTATCAAACTGACTCTTATTGTTTCGTATAATGACAACTGACGTTCATAGTGTCGCCTCTAACATGTTTTATTAAAGTTGAACCAGGTTTGTGGAATTTAAAGTTTATTCAAAGTCTGAAGTGGAAATTTTCCGTCCCCCAGTGTTCAGAGTTTGGTACTGCAGCAAGTTCTGACTAAAATACTGTGCAATGGAGCAGGTTTGCAGTAACTTTGTACGACTAAAAAAATAAATAACCAAAAGTGTCGCGCTTAAATACATAAAAAAGCAACACATTATTTTAGTAATTTACAAAATTTTACTAAATGTGGAGCTGATTTATTAACATGTCTGATCCTTGCACACTAAATCCAAAATAAATTTGTAAGATTTGATGTAACTTCCAGTGTAAGTAATTCCTTTCATTAAGCATTTCTAATTTATATTAGCTAATTGTATTTTCAGTAAAATATGTACACTTTAAATAATTACTTTTTATTAACTGACTGCATTTTCTGCAATTTTATTTACATGATAAAATATACAATAATGTAACAAACAAATCACTTATTGGATGTTGACACTTTTGGTTATCAATACATCATCACAAATACAAAAATAATGAAATAAATAAGGAAACCACTGTTGCAATGACTACTTTTGATCCTTATTGTGGAGCAACAAACATGACGCAATTATATAAATCCTGCAACAACAAAAAAAAACAAAAATAAAACTGACTTCAACATCTAAGGAGTTTGGATAATAATTTATTGCTAGATTAAATTATTTGATTGTTTAATAAATAAAATAAAAATACAAAGTTTTATAATTATGTTTATTTCATGCATTTGTTTCAAATGTACCTCAATAATCAAAATTATAACATTTCATTAACAGATTATTAATTTCTTGGGTGATGCTGCTGTTGGTTCTTGATGAAGCACAGCAAATATAAAATAAAGTATATCTAGTTAACAAGAATTTACAATTTGTTAATCCACAGTACTCAGCCACGCCCGTAACTCCTCCTAACCTCCAGCAGACTGACTACTGACCAGCTCTCCATCTCACGGGTACGAAAAGTCTCTAATTCCTGGGTATTACCGCAAATAAGAATGTAGAGAACTTTTGTTTAAGCTGGGAGCGAGAAAGATTCGTCTAAGCTCTACCTACCTTCATCCAGACGTTATGACCCGCTTCAGTCCATGATTCAGACATCGGAGTAGCCCTGCCGGTGTCCAAGCTCATAAACCACGTCTGGGTTGGCTGTGTCCACGTCTCGAACCCCTCTCCATACAGGATAACTCTCACTTGCTGTCTGGAGCAAGGAGTTAGACAGGGCTCGTCTTCCATCTTCTATCTGACTTTGCCCTACTGGGCCATGGTCATCATTTCTTTGTGGGATTGCTGCCATCTCTTGGACGTACGACTGCGCGTCGTCCTTCTCGTTCTCCATGTTGTCTTTGTCCTCGAGTTGCCTGACCCTGACCCTGCTCTAAGGGCCTCTCTAGGGCCCTTAGAGTAGGGATGGGTTCAAGCTACTTTGGCTACTAGCTGCACTGTTTGGACGTGGTCAATAAGTCCCAGGGTCATTATTTATCTGAACTAAAGAACGTACGAAGCCACTCTGATTTACTAGGACCATTAACATTGATTTCACATTAATCAGAAGAATTAAATTTAGTTGACGCAAATAATTTAACTGTCCACAGCATCAATTAGATTTTAGCGTTTTATTAGCAAGCTTTAGCAAGGGAAGAAGACATACAGCTTATCAATAAAAATTTAAGAAATTAATACTTTTAAGAATTTTTAGAAATTACTCCTACTTCTAACCCTACACTGTGTCTTAATCTAAATAGAGGCTTTGGGGGAGGCAGTATTACTCAAACCCAGATGCAGAGACGATCTTGGCAGCAGAGAACTTTAACGTCCATGGATGGAGTCCTGTCTTTGTCTTGGCAGAATCCTCTTAGAATAGATCCAAAATTGAACTGGTGAGAATCCTCAACGAACTCAGTTCTTAATCCATAAAAGATCTTTGTCTATTCCCCATGTCCACTTCAGCATCGTTGAAATCCTTTGGGTTGAGTGCAGGGCCGCAGTCGAATCAGAATCCCGAGTTGTGGGTAAACGGATCTTGTTCCTTTCTTGTGCAGCGAGCAGTCGTCCCGGGGTATCACCACGCAGCCCTCTGTTGATTCTGCATCTCCATGTGTGCTTGACTCGAACGCTGCGGAACCAAGAACCTCGAACCTCGAACCTTCTGTCTGGTGTCTTTTTATCTTCTTGGTAACCGCCCAACTCTTTCATTTCTGCTTTTTCCGTCTCGTACGTGTCAACGACCCATGGCCCACACAACTTTCCTCACGTCAACTGTTCCTTGGTTAACCTCAATCTGCAGATGAACTCTTTTCTTCTGAGTTGTACTCTCGGTTCTCTGTCTGATTATGATTTTTTTTTATAATTAAATAGAAAAAAGTAGAATTAAAGCAACGTTTGCAGGACACAATAACAACACACACAACCAGATTAATTTCATTACCGTCTGACTCTACTGTTGGGTCTTGATGTCGCCTGTGTAATTAGTTTTAAAGATAACTTTATTTATTTTTATTATTAAACTAAAATCTCCAGCATGGGGAAGTGGGATGAGCTCGACTTTTCTCGACAAATTTTTATTTTTTTATTACTTATAGAAATACCAACAGCTATAAATATTGCATATTTTTTATTGTCTAAACGATTATATACATAAAAAAAAAAACATTTCTGTATTGGTTAAATAAATTAAAGTGTGCTTTAAATCTTGAATTTACAATGTCATTAATATTTATTAGCCCAGAATTTATCCAGTTGGAAAAAAAAAAAAAAAAAAAACCCACAATAAAACGCATCTTAAAACAGGTTGAAGCAGAGCGTTGGTTAAAATGCAATATGAAATCTTATACCGTGTTTTTGCGTTTTACGTTCTGACACATGTCTGTAATCAAATCATTTATTTCCAAAGCTTGATTCATTCAGATCTTCCAGCTGCAGCCACAGGCCTCCCTCGGCACGCAGGACGAGTTGGGGGAGACGGCGCACCTTCCCAGAGCCGCTCCCAGCTTCAGGGTTAACGCCCGGGGTTAAACGAAACCTCAGCAGGGTCAGCGCTACGACCACCCGCAGCTCAGCCATGGCGAATTTCTGTCCGATGCAGTTCCTGTGAGCAGACACGGATTAAATTCACCACTGATACACTCTGATACATATAGACTCTTATTTTCTTAAGGAGGAAACTGAACCTGGGACCGGAGGAGAACGGGATGAAGCCATGAGAGGAGCGACTCTGTGTGTTGGTCGGTTCAAAGCGAAGAGGATCAAACTCCTTTAAAGCACGTTAAAATGTGTCAAATTTAAACAAATGTAAAACTATTTTGAGGGGATATTTATTAAAACTTTCTTACATGTGGGTTTGTCCAGACTTCGGGGTTGTGGTGCGTCCCGTAAAGACTGACCAAACAGATTACACCTTAGGGAAAAAAACAGATTTCACTTCCCAGTTAGGACTGGCACAAGACAAAGGTATCACAAAGAGGATGCTTGTGATACAGCCTAAAGTAAAATAAAGTAAGTAAAAGTAAAGTAAAATCCTGTATCCATCATAAAAACTCCCAGAGGGCCGAGCTTCTCACCCTGTGGTACGGCGAGGTCTCCTGGCAACGCCACATCCTGGGTGTACTTCCTGGTTACAGCCTGGACAGGCGAATGCAGCCTGAGGCTCTCTTTGATGCACATGGTAGTGAAAGGAAGGTTGGACAGGTCCTCCCTTTGAATTAAAAGAGTGTGTCAGTGCAACAAACAATTACAGCCTCGGAAAAGTATTTTTACCTTTTGACATTTTTCACATTTTGTCACTTTACACTCATGAATTTCAGGGTATTCTTTTTGTTTACTGCAAATCTTCGGGTTTGCACATCTAGTGATTGAAATAGCGCAGACAGTCAGGTTGGCCATAAGGCAAGTCAATTTTCAAGTTTGAACTTTGACTAGGCCACTCGACTGCATAAATATGTTTTTGTATCACCACATTGTTCTGCTGGAATGTGACTCTTGGGTCCAGTTATCAGACAAAACGTAAAAATACATTATTTTACTTTTTTACAGCAGAGTGACTGAGTGTGTGTGTGTGTGTGTGCGTGCGTCTTCTAACCACTCTATTTCATGCCCATCTCGTCCCTGCATCAGCTCCATCACTTCCTGTCTGCATTTCTCCTGATAGTGGGGATGACGAGCTAAATTGTACAGCGTCCAACATATTGCGCTTGCTGTCGTATCATGTCCTGGGAGAAAAGTGAGACTGATTTTTGTTTTTATTTATCACAGGTCATATCTTCATTGCATGTTTTCAAATATCATGCAGACTTATGCTCCAACTGGCTGCAAGGTATTTGTTTTTTCTGCTTCTGTTTTCAGCATTGTCTGTTTCTCAGCATTTAAGCATAATTTGATCCAAAAATACGTTTAAAATAAGATCAGAGGTAAACGTAGAGATACAAGTGGTAGAAGAATTATCATCTCTATGGATAAGATGCTTTAAATGTATGAGTTTAGTCTGTTACGAGCTGAATAGTTGCAGTTCACATTTGCGGCTACAGAGGGCGGTATTTAGCCAAAACACCTGCTCACCTGCAAACATGAAAGTGTTGGCTTCCGCCTGAATTTCTTCATCTGTGAGTCCTTGTCCGTCTTCATCCTGTGTTAATTGAAATTATTTTCATTTTTAGGAGTTTAAATTGTCATATTTCATTTTATAGTCCGTTCTGTGTTCACTTTTGACAGCAGAATAAGGTCCACAAAATCTTTCTTTTTCTGTTGCGCTGTAGTCATGCTGGTTAGTGTCTCTGTCTCCCTCTGCTGGTCAATGAGCGCACGGCGCATCTGCACAACATCCCTAGTGAACCTGCAAGTTGAGCATACAGTTAGAAAATACACTGAAAATAA